CACCACCACCACCTCCCAGTGCTCATTATCCTGGTGGACCTCATTATCCGCCGCCGCCCCAATCGCCGTACAATCCGTACCATTCGATGGGAGTGCCACCACCACTTCCGCCACCGCATTCACAGCACTATCCACCACCGACTTCACAGTACGGAGGATTTGCTGGAGTGCCATCTTCAGCAGCCCCTCCTCCTCTACCTCATCCTTCGCATCACCCTTCGATGTTTCAAGCACCACCACCGATGCCACCACCTTCTTTACAAGGTACTCAACAGCCGCCTCAATCTCATCAACCTCAGCAACCTCAGCCTCAGCAAACTCAGCAGCCTCAACATCAGCCAGCAAAGATTGGCAAGTACGTCGGAGGCAGTCAGCCCTTTCCTTCGAGTATCAAAGGTAGGCGTTTTGATAAACCAGCTTTTTATTAGCTTTTTATGCTAACTTTTTGTGGTTAATTTTTCAACAGCTGAAAACGCCTCTTCCTCATCAACTGCAACCAAAGTGGAGGTGAAGGAAGAGGAAAAACCTCATCCAGCCACGAGCACCACTGTTCACTCAAACCAGCAGCAACCTGAAATAAAAAACGAAAAGACCCAAAGTCAAGGCGTCAAGGGTGAGGGCCAAAGTGGACAGCAACTGACTACCACTAGCATCCTCACCGAAGACCCCAACTCTACCGCTTCCTCTTCAGTTGCCCCTGCAGCCGAGAACTCCCATCGAAGTGGCACTCCGCTCGAAGCCTCAGTGGACAGCGGCAGCAGCTCAGGTGATTTGCTGGTGGTNTTTCATAACCAGCTTTTTATTTTTTATGCTAACTTTTTGTGGTTAATTTTTCAACAGCTGAAAACTCCTCCTCATCAATTGCAACCAAAGTGGAGGTGAAGGAAGAGGAAAAACCTCATCCAACCACAAACACCACTGCTCACTCGAACCAGCAGCAACCTGAAATAAAAAATGAAAAGACCCAAAGTCAAGGCGTCAAGGGTGAAGGGCAAAGTCAACAATTGACCTCTACCATCACCACCAGCAGCATCCTCACCGAAGACACCAACTCCACCTCTTCCTCTTCAGTTGCCCTTGCAGCCGAGAACTCCCATCGAAGTGGTACTCCACTCGAAGCCTCAGTGGACAGCGGCAGCAGCTCAGGTGATTTGCTGGTGGTGGGATCTATTGGTGGCGGGGGTGACGGTGGTGAAAGTGGTGACGGTGGTGATCAGGTCGCAGCAGCAGCTGACGTCAGCAAAAAGGAAAAGGAGCTGAAGAGACCTTCCTTTGTGGTAGGTGTTCTAACTTTTCTTTATCTTCGGAGTTTAGGTTCTAATTCCTTTCTCTTTCAACTTTTACCTTCCACCACAGGTTCGACCAGCGCCGCTTGAGGAGGACATCAGCGAAAGCGACGACACTGACGCGCTGAGCAACGAGGACGGCGACGAAGATGAGGACGATGACGACGACGAAAATGAAAATGAAGATAATGAAAATGCTGATAATGGTAACGAGGATGAGGACGAAGATGAGGACGACCAGGACGTGAACGAGGACGAACTGAGCGAGCAGCAACGAAAAGAGCGGGAAGAGCGGCGCCAGCGACGGGCGGCCAAGGAGGCGGAGCAGGCGGCCGCCCGAGAGGAGCGGTCGCGGAAGCGGGCCCGGGAGCGGAAGATCAAGCGGGCGCTGCGGAAGTTTGCGCGGGACTTTCCTGCCAATCTGGCGCTGGAGCGGGACGTGATGCTGCCGGTGATGCGCTGTCTGGGGCGGAATGACCTGCTAAGGTGTGGGCG